AGACAACGATTTTTATGATTCACCAAGATTGAAGATCAACGTTCATCCAATATTTTTTGTAATGTTCAAATTCTTATCTATGATTTATTGTATCCCTATGACTAGCTAAACCCCCCAATGCTAGGGGTTGTCCTTGATTCAAACATGTAATGATTATGAATTTTTCTATGCAAAAACAATTTGTTTTCCAGTTAATCGATTTATTCTCTTACTTGTTTCTAATGTGTGCTATGTCGGACAAACAGAGTTTGATTTTCTATCATGATAAGGCTGGATCGCCGTTATTCATGATTTGTAAGAGAGTATATTTTAGTGGGTATCACCTAAGGCTAGGGATCCTCTATTATAACTGTAGAACTATTGATATTTTAATGCTTAATTTCAATAATGGTTTATTTATAGACATAGACATGAGATTGATTGATTAATGATTTTCTCAATAAGGACTTATGAGTAACATTCTTAAGAATCGGTAATCCATTGGCTGAAATATGTTGTTGCATAGTTAGTTCAGAATTATTACATAAGTGAATCATACACTACCCCTAACATATTGTCATACCAGAATTAATTTTTACCGCATTTTAGTATTTTACTGAAGAGTATTGATAATTAAACCAAACAATTTGAAAACCCCCCAATAGTCTTTTGTTTGATTAAACAACGAAAGAAACTCGATATTTATACACAGCCCCTGAGATCGATACTTGGGACTTTCCCTAGTATTACTACATCGGCAAAAGTAGTACACTTGCTATTTTTTCGATCATATGGTTGTGTTCTATACCGAGGAGAGGGATCTCCAAGAGGCAGAGCTAAAAAATTTATAGGTCACAGTCGCGGCTCTGGAAGAAAAGCTGAAGGTTGCAGACAAGGCAACGGAGAAGTCCATTGAGGAGGCAGTGAAGAATTACAAGGATAAGTTGGTCCAGGTTACCGAGGAGAAAGAAACCACGGTCGCGCTGAAGAAAGTTGCAGAGGAGATTGTTGCATCACTGAGGGTTGTTACCGCTCCTACCGAGGATGAAAATGATGAGGTGAAGAGTCTGAAGACTCGAGCCCAGCTTGTTGCTCGTATTAATTAAGTTGAGGAGGATTGTATGGGTATCACTGAGGAAGCTTTCAACAACGCCATAGGGCAGCAGAAGATAACAAACCCCTAGGTCGAGTTGTCTACCGAGGGGACCGGGTTTCTCTACAGTGTGGTAGACAGCCAGATCGTAATCCTAGACTTCTTCAAATTTACTGAGGGGCATAGGCAACCTGCCCGCGACGAGGCTCATCATGTGGCAGACTAGTCTTCTTTTTGTAGTACTTCCGGCCTGCGTGCTGTAATCTTGTAATTTATTTTTTGTATGGGGTGGGGTCCCATTTTTATTGTAACACATATAATTTGGGCCCTCTTGGTCGTCCTATGTTAATATTTATTTCTGGTTGCATATGATTTGTGCATGTTATTACTTTGCTTTAAGTTCGCTAAGTGTTGCCCGCTGCTTGTTACCACTGCCCATTGTATAGGCCGTTCAAGTGAACAATTTTGTTAAGTCTCGGGGTTCACTCAAAAAAATGGTGTTCGACAGTGGGAGGAACCGGTCGGAAGGCCAAAATTGTTTCTGGGCATGAGAGCGGAGCTCAGGTCGCACTTGTGGCCTGAGTTCCCAGCGTGAACTTCCTATCACGAGCTGGGCGTTCTGCCTTTTATGGTACGTTGGCGACTGCGGGCTTGATCGAGGTACTGCCGTTGGGCAAGGGGTTTGCCCATTTCTAGAGCAAAAGTTTACCTTGAGTCATTTTAGTATGCAATGCTTGTACCTGGGCGTGCACTTTTGGTCGGTACATTATGCTCGTCGTGTCGATGTTGCGCACCGACGGTTGTGGCCTTATCTATGATATTCTTTTAACTTTTCGGCGTTCCATGGTCGAGCGAGTTCATACCCGTTTAGATGTTCCAGGTAGTAGGCCTCATTTTCTATTTTTGCTCGAACGCGATAGGGTCCTTCCTAGTTCGTGAAAAGTTTGTCTTCGCAAGAATCTTTTTGATTTCTCCTTAGGACGAGACTGTCGTCATACCCCAAATTTGTCCTACCCATTTTAATCTACATTTATAAAGCCATGATCATCTAAATTAGGTCATTATGATTGGGTGGGCGCGTAATGATGATTATAAGCTCCTGCCAAAATGTTTGATTTCAAGTAGAGATAAAGGAAGGATATGTTCTCATTCTCGTGATAAAATTTTAAGACAAAGATCAATTTCCTAAGCTATATGACAGGGTTAGGGTTTTCTTCTCATCATGGATAGGAGATCAGAGTTGTCAGGGGTGATGGTATAGCTTCAAGTCAGGGTTGGTTATTCAGTCACGATTAAGATCAGACAACAGTTTAACTTCATCTTGGTCAAACCATCAAGAGTTTGCTTCAAATGCAAGTTATCTTTATCAGGGGTTTATCTCTCAGGTAATGACTCATGAGGAGTTTATTTCAAAAGTCAGGTTCGTTATAGATCATCAGTTCAGATTATGCTCCTCTGTGGATTTATTTTCCTAGAGATTCTTTCAGACGGATTCAAAGTGATTAAGAACATGTTTCATTTGCTATCAGAGATCCAGAAATCTATTTTCAATTCAAAATTGGTTGTTATTCGGTTTGACGTATTAATGGATTTCAGTGGTGATTATTCAAGGTGTTCGAATTAAAAGCTAAAGTTGATGGATGTTGTGTTCACTTAATCAGGTGTTGTAAGAAGTTTGGGATAGGTTTAACGTAGTTATCCACTTTTAGAACCATTTTTCTTTGTTCATATACAAATTCATAGGCCATCTTAATTCAAAATTAACCCTTTGTCCATATAATTTTTTAAACCAATTCCACTTTCAATATCCATTTATATATCCAATTACTATTAGTCATTTTTTTAATCCACATGTCATAATCCACTTCTTTTTTTTACCATTCCTAATTCAAAAATCCATCCAAAACCAAGTTTCCATCTTTTGATTATCCATATTTTAACCATTATCCATATTCAATTTTCAACTATCTATTCATAAAAATCCAACTCCTATCCAATTGTATACCATTTTTTAATCAACCCATTATTCAACCAAACATATTCCATCACAACGTCCAATTGGATTAATTTACAAAAATGAAGCCCGTTATCTCATACAATCACAATTGCCAAAAAAATATTTTTAAAAAAACAAGTTCATGAGTTTCTACAATCCAATTTCCAAACGAGTACATCATAATTGACCAGCTGCTGCAACATAAAAAATGTACATGGATGCTACCACCATAAGTCATCATGCCAATACTTGCTACCATGGCCCACAAGTAATAAAACATTGCAGTCTGGCCAAAGGAAAGGACGAAAATTCTGCTTCCTTCATATTACCACCACAAACTAGGGGTGGACAAAATATTATCGTCTGAGACAAACTGTCCGATCCGAATGGGATTTTGGGCAACGGGTCGGGTAATTTCAAGATGTGGATTCAAATGGGTCATTAAATTGGATAACATCGGATGATTTCGGTCGGACTCGGTTGGTAATATTTGGCCCGTCGGAATCCAAATCCGACCGAACATACACAGAGCTGGATTTTCTGTTTTTCTTGGCCCAAGCTTGCTCTCAATTCATGGCCCAAATATTTCTTGATTCCATCTGAATGAGATTAGGGTTGCCATTCTCAAACTATCGTTTTCCTGAAGCGAACCTACTGTCAATCGCCGTTTTCACAAACTTGTCATCTGTTCCCGTATCTCTCCATTCCTCTCTGATCTATTATTAAGTTTCTTAACATCTCTCTTGTGAAGGTAAGATCTCGCACACTCTCTCTCAGATCTATGATTATGGATTGCTCAGATCTTCGTTGTTTTTTATTTTTTCTAATTTATTTTCTTATTTTGAATGGAATTTAAACATTCAGGTTTTGGAATTTCTTGAGTTTTTAAAGTTAATTGAAGGTTAGGGTTTTGTTTCTGTTTTACTTGCTTTAATCTTTTATACTCTGTTTTAATAACTCCATTTGTGTTCTTTTTTGGAGATATGCAAGGAGTTGAAGAAGTTGGAAACTTGTAAGGAGCTTAAAATTTATATAATAACAGTAAGTTTAGGTTTAATTTATGTATGCTTATGTGAGTTTAAGCTAATTTTAGTTTTATGTTTTTTGTATATTTCTGATTATGTTTATTACTGTATGTAGAATTTGATATGAAGAAGTAGATTTGAGTGTTTAGATCAAAGAGATATTGTATTTGAGTTTGTTTAGATCAAAGAGATACTGTATTTGGTTAGAAACTAAAATTATGTATGTTTATGTGAATATGTTAATAACAGTTTTGCTTAGAAATTGGATTTGAATTTTATGTATGTTTAGAAACAGTTTGGGTTTAGAAATTTAAGAGGTTTGGGTTTAGAAACTAAAGTAGAAACTAAATTATTGCATTAAGAGTGTACTTAGAACTGCAGAATGCAATTAGTTATTGATTTCGTAAGCAAATGTACTTAGAACTTAAGTCATAAGAGTGCAAAAGCTGAACATATCTCACATAAAAACTGCAGAACCTAGTGACATTTTTTGAGAATTGCATGACATATGTGAAACTGCAGAACAACTATTTAAAAGGGAAATGTAATTTAAAAATTATCATTAAAACTACATTACCAAATATTTAGTAATTTAAAGATTATCAAAACTGCAGAACTAAATATTTAATAATTTTAAAGATTATCCTTTAAACTACAGAACCTAGTATTATTCTGAAAAGGAAAAGTGGTGTATTCATTATGAGTGCAAACAATTTAGTAACATTTATTGAGAATTGCAGAACCTGGATTATCCTTAAAACTAAGCATCTAGTCAATCTCATTAAAACTAAATAAAGAGTGTAATATACCACAACAACCAAAAACTTATTTTCACTAAGCATCTAAACACTTAATGAGTTAATAATGTTGGTTGTGTGTTGATTATAATCTTCATTAATTTTCATCAATGGAGAATGTTACTCAACACCAGCCTTCTACATTAACATCTGGTGTTGTTTCAACTGATGTTGCTGCAACTGAAATTCACGTTGTTGGGCTTCCTCCACTTGGAAAGAAAAGAAAACCAAATGCTAATGGTCCTAGGAAATCGTCTCCTGCATGGGACCACTTTATTAAATTACCTAATGAAACTGAACTAGTAGCTGCTTGTAAACACTGTCATAAAAAGTATTTGTGTGATCCAAAATCCCATGGGACATCTAACATGCTTGCTCACACAAAAATATGCACCGGGAGGCCACAAAATGATCCTACACAAACTGCCATTTCCTTTGCTAGTGGAGAGGGTGGTGGCTTGGTTGCTGCAAGCCAACGATTTAATATGGCAGCTTGTAGAAAGGCTATTGCTCTATTCGTGATCCTAGATGAACATTATTTTAGAGTAGTTGAAGGGGAGGGATTTAAGTTGCTATGCAAACAATTACAACCCCAATTAACTATTCCATCGAGGAGGACTGTGGCGAGGGACTATTTTCAACTTTTTGTTGATGAAAAAGTAAGATTGAAAGGTTATTTTAAATCTGATTGCAATAGGGTAGCCTTAATCACTGATTGTTGGACATTCATTCAAAATCTTAGCTACATGACCCTAACTGCACACTTTATTAAAAATGATTGGAAGTATGAAAATAGAATTCTAAGTTTTTGTTTAGTTCCTAATCATAAGGGTGAGACAATTGGTAGGCAAGTTGAAGAGATATTAAGGGAGTGGGGAATAAGGAATGTATCCACAATCACAGAGGACAATGCAACATCTAATTATGTAGTTGTTGCTTATTTGAAGAAGAAGATTAATAATATGGGTGTTTTAATGAGTGATGGGTCTTTCTTTCATCTTCGTTGTTGTGCACACATTCTAAATCTGGTGGTTCGTGATGGTATAAAACAAAATGAATTATCTATTTGTGCCATTAGAAATGCTGTTAGATTTGTGAGATCATCACCCCAAAGATCATCAAAGTTCAAAGAATGTATTGAGTTTGCTAGAATTAATTATAAGAAAATTTTATGTCTTGATGTTCCAACAAGGTGAAACTCATGTTATTTGATGTTAGATGCTGCTGAAAAGTATCAAGCAGCATTTGAGAAAATGGAAGGTGAAGATTTTAGCTATTTGGAATTTTTTGGGTTAGTTGGTCCCCCTACTCTTAATGATTGGGATAATGTTAGGTGTCTTGTAAGTTTTTTCAAAATTTTCTATGAAGCTACTATGGAATTTTCTTCGTCAAAACAAATGTCCCTTTGTAATACCCCAAATTTTGCCCTAAGATTTGTCGTCGCATTTCATTGCATTTTTATTGCATTTTTATTGCATTTTTATTGCATTTAATCAATTACTAACAAATTTGTGTAGTCGTTTGACTTTTTGCAGGTAAATATCATATGGCATGCATTTTTTTCTAAAAAGTAAGAATGGCCCAATTGGCAAGAGGACATATGGTCAGAAGGTTTTCTTCAGAAAAGAGGAGAGAGAAAGGGAGAAACAAAGGAGATCCCCAGAGAAGAAAGGCGGTCGTTCCCACAACTCGTCAGAAGGATTGGAGCTCTCCAGTGTTCTCTTATTCAAACCTTTTTCACATTTACCGAAGCAAACCTCCGCTTCGTAGGTTAAATTACTAATTCTTTTGCCTTTTCATGTTTATGTGCATATTTTGCCATGTTAATGTGTTTAGGTCCGTTAAATTACTAAACCTTTTGCTTTTTCATGTTTATGTGCATATTTTGCCATGTTAATCTCCATGTGTGTTTAGGTCCGTAGATTTTAATATCAAAACCCTTTTTTAACAAAACCTTTTTTTCAAAATCAAAACCCTTTTTTTTATTTATTATTAAAACCTTTTTTTAGTAAGACCTTTTTTAAAAACTGAAAAGCCTTTTTGTTCCCAAGAAGAAAAAAAAACCTTTTTGTCCCCAAAAACCTTTTCCCAAAAAATGAAAAGCCTTTTTTTGGATGAAAAGCCTTTTTTGTTCTAAAAAAAACTGAAAAGACTTTTCCTCCAAAAACTTTTTTTTTTATAATTTAAACTTAATTTTTTTTTATAATTTTAACTTAAATATTTTTTATTAAAAAATTAAAACCTTTTTTTTATAATTAAAATATTAAAAAATTAAAACCTTTTCGTAAGGAACTCCTGATGTTTGATGTTTGTCGTGTCATTTTATGTACCCTTTTATTACTTTTCTTTCTTTTGGCATTTCATGTGCATGCTCGAGGTTGAGATGTGCTTGTGGTAGCCACAGCCCCACACTATTTTCCTCCCTCACTTCATTCTAAGTGTCATTACATATTTTCATATTCTTCATGTTTTCATAAATGTTTCTTTGTTTCTTTATACCCTCTGCCTTTATTACTTTTCTTATTTCTTTACCTTAATTATTCCTCCATATAATGATTTGTCATATTTTCACATTTTTTTACAGTTTTATCCTTCCGAAGGATTAGGTCCAGCCTTTTGGCCGCCGAGTCAATAGCCTTACCCCTTTAATGGATCAAACCCTGTTTAGCCTAGATGTCCCGCCGTGGGCAAAATTGCTTTTATCCTAGTGTTAGGCCAAAAGAGTCGCCGCACTCATTTTAGGGTTTCCCGCCGCGGAATCCCTAACCTAACCCTAATGCACTTAACAATTTATAACGTAGATATTGGAGTTTCTACACTCCGCGTAAGCGTGTCCCTAAGATACGTTTATTCCCCATTGAAACCTTGGCCACAGTCAAGACGTTTCTAACCTCCCTTTTGAGGGGAACTACAGTTACTCTGATTCCATTCCCGTAAGGATATGTAGGCACAAGATGCGATGTCTTGCCGAGTAAACTTAGAATTAACCCCTAGGTCTTTTTTAATTTTCAATCCTTTGTATATACCCTAAAGCAAAATAATTAATGAAATAAATAAAAAAAATAAACAAAAGGTTCCCGTAGAGTACTACGGAAGTTTAGGGTGCTAATACCTTCCCTAAATTTAACCAACCCCCGAACCTTAGATCTCTCCCTTTTAGGTTTTTCCTTTCTTTAACCTTTCCTTCGGATAAATCAAAGACCGGTTGTAAATGAATTAAGATTCAAGTTAATCAATAGCTTGACATCCAAATTTCACCGCAACAGAAAATGGCGACTTCACTGGGGAGTCCTAACTATTGAGGGTTATCCCTATTTTGTTTATTTTTCTTTATATATTTGTTTTATTATATATTTTGCTCACTTGTATGTATATATTGGGGTACCTTACTTGGAGTTACTGTGTTGTGAGATAAGTCCTACACCCGGACTTGAGCGACCTTATGATAGGATGGCTGATATATTCGACGAGGCTTATAGGGAGTGAGTCCCGACTAAGCTAAATAGAGAATCACCGCTCAGTTGAGACACTTTCGAAAATGGTTCGGTTGATCGAGTGTAGTCGTGAAAACTTTTACCATTATCGATTGGAGTCTGTGATACTGGGAACCGTAGTACCTTTACACCATCTTGGCCTTATCTAGGACGTAGTGCGGGAACCATGTGGGAGTAGTCCTACAATGGTTGCTACGCGATACTACACTCGAACGAGGTTCTCTTGAGAATATTATCGACCCTTGAGTAAGTCGAGAAGTTGATAATATCTGAAAGATGGGCTGATGACTTTGGGCACTGATTTAGAACCCTTGTTCTGCAGGTACAATTAACCTATAGTACACACCACTTTGGGAAGGGTAGACCTTGACTCCATTCATTGTTCCTCTAACTTAGGACCTTTTGTTTGCTTATGTGTATTTGTGCTTCGCATCCATAAAGCATCATATCATTTCTAGTTTCAAGGAATTCAGCAGTCCTTTGCAAATTCGAAAAGCCTTACATTTTAAAGTCTAAAATTTTTTCCAACTTTCTTAAAAAGCAATATTCGCAATCGACCGTTGAAATTCTTGAAACCATTGCATGGCATCAGCATCACATTTTTGCATTGCATTTGTCCCCCAGTTTCTCCTTCTTGGTCCTATCGTCTTCTAGTGTACCTTTGAGTCGTCAAGCTGATTCCTCGACACAGATATCAGACCAGAAACGGAACAGGAGTCACTTTGATCCTATTCTCATGACTTACACAGAGCTGTATCCTGACTTAGTTCGACAAGGGCTGATCACTACAAAATCTTTACCACCTCCTCTTAATCCTCCAGTTGGATTTAGGGTTGATCTAAAGCGTGCTTTTCATGAGGGTGCCTTAGGCCACGACTTGGAGCATTGTTTTGCATTGAAAGCTAGGGTGCGTGAACTGATTAGAGCCGGAATACTTGATTTTACGGATAGTCGTCCGAGCGTCCAGACAGATCCCTTGCCAACACATCAGAATTGAAGCTTTGTCATTGGGCCTTTTTTTTCTCGTTGTTTACACTTTCCTTATTTTGTTTAAGTTATTTTCTTTTAATTATGTTTGTACTTTCATTAATGAAATAAGCATTGCGACTTTTGATTCAATTCATTTCCGTCCATTTATTTGCATCTTTATGCTTCATTTTTCAAATGTTTACTTCTTGTCCAAAATTTTGATATGCTAAGATTGGAGGGAGGATGATGAAAACGTTATACCCATAATTGTTGTCAGTATGCTTTCAATCAAACCTTGTTGACGATGTAAGGCATTATTTCAATTCCCAAACACTGGAGAAATAAGGAGGTTAATCCCTCGTTACCCCCTTCGAGCCTAGAAGTTGGAGTTTCTTTCGTTACAAAAAACCCACAATTTTAACCTTGGGATGGGTAGTTCTCAGTTAACTTGGTTGTGTGTTCATACGATACACCTTTCATTAACAAATTTTCCTTCGCACACGTCAAACAAGTGTCGAAGATGTTTTCTAATCAAAAGGTCGATGATGGTTCACCGTAATCATTAAAATCAAACAGTCACTTTCCTTCACACAAAAAATAATATAAAAAAAAATCAAAAGAAGCCCGCTAAGTCAAAACCTATGAAGGAGACTTAGGCAAAACTGGGGCATCCCGCTGACTGTAAACTCTAAAATAAACAGTTCAGGCAAAATTTAGGGATAATACAAAGAGATTTTTAAATCCTTATCTTGAAAATCCTCAATGTCAAAACAATCAAATGTTATAGGGGAGTAGTGGCTGCCTTTTCATAGGTCCCTTTGACTTCTGAGTCATCATTGCTACGATAAATGAAATCCCTAACTTATGGGAACCTGAATGCATAGTATGAGTTAACTGAGCATAGGATTGAAGATCATCACGTAGATTGGGTGGGTACAAATAACTTTTGAGCCTTTATCTTTTGTTTCATGAACCGTGAACCAGGCCACGTTACAACCCTCAAAAGACCTAACTGAAACAGGGTTATTTTGAAAGTATACTACAACAAGGTTGCGTAACCTGACTCTAAAAGATCCTTGCGAATCATTTATTTTGGCAGTACACTTTTGTTTTAAACTTTGAGTGTCTTGAACCGCCTTGTTCTGACTAACGACTCATGTATTTTCCATCATTCAAAAATAATTTTTCAAAAATCGTATGAACTTTGCATTACCATGTTTGTATGAATATTTTTGTTTGCAAACTGGCTTTCCTCTAAGGAATTTTCAAACAATGAGAAACTTGGTCAAGTGATCTTATCAGGGGCAAATTCCTTTTACATCCTGTCAAAGAATTAGTTTAAGATTTGTTCAAGGCAATATCTTCTCAGATTTGGTTTATCCAGAGAATTGTTCAAGACCCAGACTGGGGCAAGCCCTCCGAGGATACAGCAAAACAGTCGATTCCACGAATCAGACAGCTGAAGCAATTATCAATTCATTTGACCTGGGGCAGTTTACTTGCATAATCCCCAAGCAGTTATTCATCATTCCTACAGTGACTATCAACTTGATACAGTTTAACAGAATGACAGTGATCTCCGTGTTGAGGAATCAGTCCTCCAGTTTTGTCATCTCGCAGAAAGAGTCGAGCCTTGTCGTCGACGTCTGCATTTGCATTTGATCATATGTCATAGCATAATTCCTATACATGTGCATATCTTGGGTGTTTTACTCCCCATTTACATTTCTATC